AGCCTTGGCTGAGTGGCTTAGTTGGTTGGAGCATTGTTCCATATACCAAAAGGTTGTATGATCCCCAGTCAGGGCATGTACCCAGGTTGAGGATTTGATCCTCCATCCGGGCACTTATGGGAGGCAACCAATGGATGTTTGTCACAGCAATGTTTTTCCCTTTGCCCTGCACAACCCCTCCCTCCAGCATCCCCTCCTACCCTTAGTTCATGTCCATGGGTCATACATATACGTTCTTTGGCTTCTCCATTTCCTATACTATTTTTAACCTCCCCTTGTCTATTTTGTACCTACCATTTATGCTTCTTACTTCCTGTGCATTTTCCCCCATTCTCCCACTCCCTGCTGATAACCTTCCACATGATCTCCATTTCCGTGATTCTGTTCCTGTTCTAGTTGCTGCTTAGTTTGTTTTTGTTTTTGTTTTTTAGGTTCAGTTGTTGATAGTGTGAGTTTGTTATCATTTTACTGTTCATAGTTTTTTATCTTTTTCTTAGATAAGTCCCTTTAACCTTTCATGTAATAAGGGCTTGGTGGTAATGAACTCCTTTAACTTGACCTTATCTGGGAAGCACTTTATCTGCCCTTCCATTCTACATGATAGCTTTGCTGGATAGAGTAATCTTGGTTCTTGACTTTCATGACTTTGAATACTTCTTTCCAGCCCCTTCTTACCTACAAGGTTTCTTTTGAGAAATCAGCTGACAAGTCTTATGGCAACTCCTTTGTAGGTAACTGGTTTCTTTTGCTTTGCTGCTTTCAAGATTCTCTCCTTATCTTTAATCTTGGGTAATTTAATTATGATGTGTCTTCCTATCACAAACATACATTCAAGAATTATTGCCCTGGCTGGTGTAGGTCAGTGGTTTGAGTGCAGGCCTGTGAAGCAAAGGGTCACTGGTTCAATTCCTAGTCAGGGCACATGCCTGGGTTGGGGGCCAGGTCTCCAGTAGGGGGCATGCAAGAGGCAACCACACATTGATTTAACCCTTTCTTTCTCCTTCCCTTCCCCCTCTCTAAAAATAATTAAATTTTTAAAAAACAAACAAACATACAGTGAGTAAATTTATGTTTCCATAACAAATAACTGAATATAACTTAGATACCAGATTAAAGGTTAAGACAACACTAATTACTTAAAAGTCAGGATTTAAAGGGAAATTCTAATAATCATAAGTAGATAGATAAAATATGAAAATAGCATACTGAATGCATATATATCTGACAAGATGGGATCATTACCCTAGTGGAGTTTAATATTTATATTCATAATGTTTTCAAGGTCAAGTCTTCTTTATATTCTCCAGTGTTTTATTCTCATTGAATAAGGCAAAGGAACTGGCTCAGTCTTGTCTTTTGTAAGTAGCTGTTGACAGGGTCTACTTTCTTGCAGCTCTTAAATAAACTCCTCATTGAGACTCGTATTCTGTGGCTTCAGCTAGAATCTCTACCCAAAGCTGAATTTTAAAAATGTGTCTTATTTTTTTATTTCCAAAAGAGATGGGAAATGTAATCCTAAAGAAAATCAGAGGTCAATTCAGGGAGCTTGAAAAGGTTGCCACAGGATAGATTAAAACAGAAAATGAATCTTTCTTTTCTATCAGACCCAAACTCTCCTCTCACAGTTGTCACTTTATTTCCGAACTTTCTACATTTTACTTGATAAACTGATGTGGACACAGGCCAGCAGTGTCCATGGTGTTATATATGAGACGAGATAAATTCACATGGACTACAGAGTCCTATGGAGGAAAAGGGACGCACAGTCACTCTCTCAAGGGGAGAGTGTGCCGACCCTTGCCTCGACTAGCTTTTATTGGCTTTCTAATAGCATGCATCAAAGAAGATTTTCATTCATTATACTTAGGTTTGCTTTAGGTAATTACTTTCTACAGATAGCAACAGAAGAGATGTTATTGATTACTTCTTACAGATTAAAAAGGAAAAAATGTTGCAGATGCAAGGGAACGATAATAGTAACAGGTCTGGTTACACTTTAGTCCTTGGGAGAATTAGCACAGACTTCAGGAAGTTACTTTAAAGATATGCAGCAAGCTCTCGCCACCTGAACTCAGGGTGAGGGAGTTTTAGCAAGAGCAAGTCACAAAGCAGCCTAGGTATAATGTGGGCCTGGTTTCCCACGGGAGAACTTCTTCATGGGTGTGGTCCTGTGTGTTGACTCGCTCCCCACTGGTTTTCCACGTGGGTGCTGAGCTACATTTCCACACCTTGCAAAGTGGCCCCTACAATAAACCAAAGGACAAAAATTTCAGAATAACATTTTTTTAAAAATTACTAAAATTTACTCTAGAAATAAAAACATATGTTCACATGAAAGCCTGTTTGTGAATATTTGGAATAACTTTATTAGTAATCACCAAAAACTGGAAATAAACCAATCTTTTAACTGCTGAATGGATCAGTATTCTACTCAGCAATAAAAATAAGATAGACCTGGCTGGTGTGGCTCAGTGGATTGAGCTCAGGCCTGTAAACCAAAGGGTCACCAGTTCAATTCCCAGTCAGGGCACATACCTGGGTTGCAGGCCAGGTCCCTAGTTGGGGGAGCATGAGAGGCAACCACACATTGATGTTTCTCTCCCTCTCTTTCTCCTTCCCTTCCCCTCATGCTAAAAATAAATAAATAAAGTATTTAAAAAATAAAATAAAAGTAGGATAAACTACTACTCAGAAATAAATAGGAATGAATACTGACCCATACAACCTCAGTGGTGCATCTCAAATGCATTATGCTAGCCAGGAAGCCAGAAGCTAAAGGCTATCCACTATGTTTCCCTATTTATTCCCAAAGCGAGTACTTCATTTTGGAAAAGGCAAAATTATAGTAACAGAAAACTCAGTGGTTGCATGGGATTGAGAGAAGGGAGGATTGTGTTGCTATTAAGTGCAACACAAGGGAATTTGGGGCTGGGAGGGGTAACAGAAGTGTTCTAAATGTTGGTTCTGGCCGTGGTTATACAACTCTATGCATCTGTCAAAACTCATGGAACTCTAAACCAAAAAGAATAGATTTCACTGTATGTAAATCAAGACATCAGCTGAAAAAATAAGCAAAACCCAATTAAAATCCTGGAAGAATACAACCTATAGAACAGACGCTATACAGGGGTAGTCTTTTCTTTTTTTAGTATATTTTTCGGTTATTTTAATATTCACTGTATTATTTTACTATAAAATAAAACACAGATGCGTAAAGCCACACAAAGCAAACACATGACTTAATGAATTGTTACAAGGTGAGTATTTTTGTAAGCAACAAGCAGGTCAAGACGGAACTTTCCAGCCAGCCAAGAAGCCCTTGGTGAGCCCCACCCAGTCACAAGTTCTTCCTCCACCACTGGTCACTGCCATCCTGACTTCTGCAGTTGTCCTTTCCATGTCTTTCCTTGTAAGTCTCACCACTCGTGCACATCCCTAGTCACTATAAGGTGGACTTGTTTGTCTATGAAGTTTATTTAAGTCTCACAATCTCTAGGGTCTCTGTTTTATTCCTGGCAATGTACCTGTTGAAGACTCTGGCTTGTTTGACATGGTTTTCCACAGTCTGGACTTTGCTGACTGTTGGCTCATGGTGAACCTGACATGTCCCTTTGTCTTCTGTGTTTCCTGCAAACTGTCAGCTGGATCCAGGGACTTGATCTGTCTCAGGTCCAACCACCCACCCTGGACAAGGTTATAGATGGTACTGCCCTTTCATCCAGAGCCCCTTTAGTGAGCATGGCAATTTGTTAAAAACTTCCAAAAACTGAGTAAGTATAAAATGCATTTAAATCATGAGAGTTTTAAATGATATGCTTGTAAATCTGTGACACTTCTACTTTTGAAATTTTAAGCCTTAAAATTGCTCTTAAACTTTTGGGACATCCTATACATAATGTGAAGAAAAAATACCTTATATGTTCATAATGATGTTTCTGATTCAAATTCAGGACTCCAGGGTTTTTATGTAATTCCTTCATTTTGTTGCATCTGTATCGCCTGTTGTCTACACCCAAACTCCTGGTTCTCAAGGACATGAGGTGATAGAATTACAATATCAATGTTTGAGCACTCTTAACCACGGCACTGGGCACATATAATAACAAGGGCAGGGGGAAATGTACACAATCTTGTGTGATCTACTCTTTGAATTAGAGACACAATTAATGAAGTTAATAGTGTTAGTAAACTGAAGACTGTATTTATGGATATAAATTATTATCTACCTCAATGTTTTTGATTCAGCCTTGCTCTAAATAAATATCAGAGGGCCAATTGTTTTGAAGCAGGAAATTGTAGGAAAATATTAGGAAGGCATTGATTTAAGTGCTTTTGTAAATTGAAAGCATTGAAAGCACTAGGTTAACACTTCATCTTTGTTTAGATAGAGAGGAAAGATGGTGAGTGAATATTGACAATTTAATTTGAAAATGTAAGGTAAGTCTATAATTACTGATTCTTACCATTAATTTTTAGTTTCATTTAAGTCTGTTTATTAAAAAGGCAAAGAGCATCCTTTAATATCAGAAGTTTGTGTTTATAGTTTCAAGGACTGTTGAGAGATGGTTGCTTGCAGACATACCTGTTAGGAGGTGTGCTGTAGAAAACTGGATTTGATCACTGAAGTTGTAAAGTATGTTTGCCATAGGAGGTTGACTAACTGGTTGACTGTGACCTCACTGATCTGGTAGTTTGCAAATAAAATTTTAAAATGACTCATATATAAATTTTAAATCATAACAAATATCTCTTGTGTATAAAATGCAATACATATCTGTATACATGTATATTAATGTGCTACTTGATTTGAATATCAAGTGCTACTTTTATACATTAAATTTTATATTGGATACTTAAGTTTGGTTATAAAGAAAGAAATTGTAGAACTATTTTATTTTCTAGTTAGACTATAAAGATTCTAGCTTGAATCATCTGCTCATCTTATACTATTTTAAGTATTTTTATACTATTTTCTATTTAAAAGTGTTTAACTGATGGGTTGAAGATACTACCTTACAGATCTGTATAGCATTTACAACTCATTGCAAGTATATGTAACTCTAAAATAACATAAGTAGATAATATTTTAATAAACATTTAACACAAAGATAAAGATGAATCGATAATAAAATAGAGGGCATAGTGGACAAGGCAGAAAGCTTATAAAGGAGCTAATTTAGTGACCAATAACCTGAATGAAACAGATAGAATGAGAAAGTTTAATGGTAAACATTTAAACCAAAAAGATAAAAATGAAAGTGAACGTTGTCACAGGCATAAAATTCTCTATCTCAGTTTGGGTGTGCAAAAAAAAAAAAAAAGATAGGGTGAAGGGCTCTTCTTTACAGCTCTATATAGAAAATAGCTCTATAACTAGGCTCATTTGCAGGCTTTGCTAATGATAGAAAACAAACTTGCCAATGCAGTTTAATTCAGTAACTTCTGGGTTAAAACATAATTACTTCTATCTAATAGCTCTGTTCTTCCGGAGTTCTCCCTCTCCCTTTTTTCTTTTCCTTCTCCCCTTGCATGTGGCCTGAGACTACAAGGGCAGGCACAGTGTCCTGACCCTTTGGACAGCTGGCCTTGGCCTTGGCCTTCCTCCCTCTGTGCTTGGCCATGTGCCAAGCTTCTCCAGGGACCCTTCTCACAGTTTCCTTAGGCCATAGCTGGGAAGGGAAGTACAATCCTGCACAGCTCTGGAGGTCCCCCAAACTCATCACACATTCTCATCGACCTTGCAACATGGGGGGGTCATCCTGAAGGGGAAGCAACCTGGCTTCAGGCTCTTAGAAAGTGTGCATCTCGGCTCACAGCCCTTTTACATCTATCTTCCTCTTCAGCAGCCACTGGCTGAATTCTCATCTCCTTTTGGGAGGGAAACCGGCTCTGATATTATTACGCACCTCTTTGCCAGAGGGACATAAACAGCTTTCTCTGGGGCTGCTAGGCCCCCTAAATTAAAGCATAAACAAAGTACTTCTGCAAATGGGCAAGTACTAGCTTGGGCTGTTGACCTCCTTTCCAAACCCTTTTCTGTAGGGACCTCAGAGGGAGACAGAAATATATGGAGTTGACAAAAGTAAATAAAAGGAAAATTTGAGTAAGACAATTTGAGCCTGGCATGCTGGGGGCAAGGACAGAAAGCACTCTCAGATGCAGGCAGACATCTAACCCCTGAATATCCCTCTTCTCCCTCCCGTCCTGGAGGCCCCGGAGAGTATAAGAAAGGAGATACCTTTAAATAGAACAGCTTTGGGATAGAAGAGGTAAGTGGGGGTTCTTGAGGGGCCCAATTGCCTGGTGAAGAGGAATAATGGGCGTGGTAATTCCCATCTGTGGCTTTCTGTGCTCTGGGGTCTGTCCTCACTTGTCTCTTCAACATGTCTGGAGGGCTCCACAGCCTGTGGAGCCTGTGGTGAACGAAAGAGTTTCTGGAAATGACTGTTTATTGTGTACTAATATCCACTCTTAATTTTTTTCTAAGCTGAACAAATTATCCAGTTTTTAATTAGACACATGATTGACCAGAATAAAAACCATAATACCCAGCCTCATTTGCAGCCAAATGCATTCATACAGCAAAGAATATTCTTAACCACTGTATACTAATGCATTTGAAATCTCTAAAAATAAACTCCCGAGAAAAATATGACACTAATATTGTCACAAAAAGATAATTTGAACAGGCTGATAATCATTAATATAATTAAAATAGTAGTCATCAGTGATTTCCCCCAATCACCCTAAAAGTTCCAGGCTCACACAGTGTTATAGTGAATTCTACTAACCTTTCAGGGAATAGATGATACCTATTTAATGTAAGTTGTTTCAGAAGAAAAGAGAAAAAGATGCCCCACTCTTCTCATGAGCCTAATCTAACCTTGTTTTCAAAATTAAATAAGAAAAGGAAATGCAAAGAAAGTTATAGACCCATTTTCATTTATTAAAATAGACACAAATATTGTTAAGTCAAAGCAACAGTAACAATATATTAAAGTATATTATGATCAAATAGTAAGTCGTTCTGCTAAGAATGCAAGGATGATCTAACATCTGAAAAATCTGTTAATGTAATTCATCACTTCAGTGGAATAAAAGAGAATCACATGACTATTTTAATCGATGTAGAAACAGCATTTGATAAATTTCAACACCTAAAAAAATAAACAAACAAATAAACTCTATGGAAACTAGAAGTAGATGAGGGCTCCCTTAATTTCATGAAGTCTCTAAGCCCAAAACTAATGGTAAACATCTTTCCAAGTGGAGAAAAGTTAGACACATTTTGTTTTTGGATCAAGAAACAAACAAAATAACCCAGGAACTATCACATTAGCAGTATTTGTTGTCATCTAATAGGTTTGGCCATTGCAGTAACTCAATCAATCAATCAACGGATCAATCAAATGAAGTCTATAAGAATTAAAAATAAAGATAGAAAAAAACTTTCATTATTGGCATTACTGGCAGATCAAACAATTCTGTACAGAGAATCCAAGAGAATTAACAGAAACATTATTGGAATTAATAGTGGAATTCATCAAAATTACTTGTTAAAAAGTACTTACAAACAATAATCACAGTCCTTTACCCTGGTCAGGTCAGTGTAATTTTTTAAAAACGTAATTTTGGGGGCCCTGGTTGGTGTAGCTCAGTGGATTGAGCACAGGTCTGCGAACCAGAGGATCTTGGTTCGATTCCCAGTCAGGGCACATGCCTGGGTTGCAGGCCAGTTCCCAGCAGGGGATGCATGAAAGCCAACCATACACTGAGGTTTCTCTCCCTCTCTCCTTCCCCTCTAAAGATAAATGAATTTTTAAAAAGATATATTCTAAAAAAATAAAAATAAGAACATAATTTTTAAGAGCAATAAGGAACATACATCACTGAGAAATAAATCCAACCAAATATGTATTAGATCTTTGAATTTTTTTAAAAAATGTATCAAAAGACATTAGAAAAAAACCTAAGTAAATGGGAAGATTTCTATCTTTTGTGGATAGGTAGACCCAATACAAAATGGTAATTGATTTTTGCCAAATTAATCCATAATGTTAATACAATAAATTTTGAATTAATAAATATTAATACAATAAAAAACATTTTTTGTGGGACTTAATAAGCTGAATCTAAAATTCACATAAAAGAGTCAAAGACCAAGAACAGCCACAAGAAATTTTTGAAAATAAAGAAGCAGGGAGATATGCCTGGTCAGATATCAAAATTTATAATGAAGTTATAAATAAATTATACCAGTGTGATGTGAGTGCAGAAATGGACAAATGGAATAATGGAACAGGTCAGAGACTCTGGGAACGGGCCCATGCACATAAGACAACATGGTAAATAAATAAAACAGATGGCGATTCGGATCAGCAAAAGGATGGCTTATGTAATGTAATAGATGGTCCCCGGGAAAATAGTTAACCATGTGGAACAAAAAATAAAACTGTAGCTCCACAGTTCATCCTACACAAAGGTTAACTCTGGCAGAATTAGAAGAAAATTTAAGAGAATTTCTTTGTGTCGGGGCATGAAAACATATTTTTTAAAAAAGACAAAATAAGCCTAAATCATTAAAAAAAAAAAAAGACTGGTAAACTGACTAGATTTTTTAAATATCTGTATTACAAAAGATATCGTGGAGGAAATGATAAGCCACAGACTGGGAGAAAGTATTTGCAGTTCAGGTGATAGACAATGAATTAGTATTTAATATGTGAAAGATTCCTAAAGAGAAAAAAAGGATTGGATTGCACAACATAAAAATAATAAAGGATATAGGCATACAATTCATGGAGAAATAAAGGAAACAGAAATAAGAATCACAGTGAGGTACCATTTCATACCTACCTTACTGGTGAAAATGTAAAAGTCTGAGCACCTGCGTGAGTGCAGACAACACTGCCAGGGTGGGAGAGGGGAGAGTGAGTTCGAATCACCACTTAGAGCCGTTTGGCAAAACACACTAGGTTTGAGAATGCGTGTCCCCTAATAAGGTTGCAAGTCCGCTTCAAGGTGTATACCCCAGAAACTCTTGCGCAGGTGCACAAAGAGGCCTATACAGGACGCTCGGTGCAGCATAATTTATAATGGCAAATAACTGGCAACCACGTTACTGCTGTCTACTAACAGGAGAATGGATGACAGAATGGTAGTGGTGTCTTCCTACTAATTTTTCGGCTGTGTGATCTGAAGCTTAACCCTCTGTGTCTTTGTTTTTTTTTTAGCTCATGATGAGGATCACAATAGTAACTATCTGGTAAGAAAAGATTTTTGTAAGGATAAAGTGAGTCTGTGTTGAGCACAAAATAAACTCTATTAATAGCAGCAGCAATAGGAGCAGTACCAGTATGATCAGTAATGGTAGCATACAGTGGTATAATGAGTGTATTCACATGGCTAAGTTGCATGGGATTGTGCAGGAGAAAAAAAAGTTGCAGGTAAATATGGACAGTATGTCTGCACACAGGCACATGGGGTTGATGAACACCAAATTCTAGATGGTGATTACTTCACTTTCAAAGATGAAAAGAAGGAAATGGATTTCAAAGACCAATGGCAGTTTTCTTCAGTAGTATCCATTTTATTTTTTACGCTAGATTTTAATTTTATTTGCCATCTATATTTTGTATGCCTTAAAACCACAACTTTTTTAAAGTGGTACTCTGGCTGGGATTTTACTTAATGTTTTTCACTAAAAACATTAGTGAAAACATACCCCCATGACACATTGGCTGTTCAGAAACATGATTCATTTAAATCCAGGAAGTCTTCATTTAAACTGTCCAAGGCAAAAAAACAATCTCATTTCAAAAATATTTGGGGAAAAAATTCCATTTTGTCCTTTTTGATACAGAAATAAGTTTCTCGAGAAGTGAAATTATGCTGTATATTTTCTTCAGCACTAGATGGGAATTAAATGTTATGTTTAACAATTATTTGGTTATTCACTTCTCTGAAATTTAAAAATAAATTTTCTATGAAATATTTTAAACAGTGATTAACTCCCCAACCTCACCCACCAAATCCTCTTTAACCCATGTTGCCACTTAAATTGAAGATAATTATAACAAATATAAGGAAAACTTATGTGGGGTGTTTGCTTGTTCGTTTGCTCAGTACTCTTAACATCAGCCTCAATATAGGTCTACTTTAATTAAAAAGGGAAATACTACATTAGCTGGTGTTCTAAATTTCCCTTTCTTTCACAGTATTTAATAACTTCATCTGTTTGCATGTAATAGTATACAATTCATTCCAAATCCAAACATGCTATAATTATATGTTTAATGGATTTTTTTTAGTGATGGAAATTTTCAGTTCAAAGCCAGCATCTCTCACCTGACTTGTGGGGGCTCCAAAGAGGAGTGTCAGAAAACTCCTGCCCAAGACCCTGCCTTCTGGGCCACTGACTGCAGCCCACTCCCTCCCAGGGCAAAGCGTGTCTCATGGGAGAAGGGTGGATGCCTGGTAAACTGGGGAGGTGGGGAAGGAATTGGGCAGAAGTGGCAGAGAGTGCTCCCAGAGAGGAAAACAGCATTTCGTCTAGAAGATCCAGGTGGAAGCCAGGAAAATGACCAGCTCTATAGCCAAACAGCAGAGCCATTGGCAAGGATGAACAGAATTGGCAGCTCCAAAGCAGAAAGAAATTAAGTTGTTCAAAATCAAGGCTGTTGCAGATGAGTTTGGGCTGGAGTTTTAACCAGGGAGGAATTGCATGGCCGAGCTGGGTGTGAGAGCTGAAAGGAGTTACCTTTCTGCCTGGAAATGGAGAGCCATCTATTCTCCCCCTTTTCATCCTTCTCCCTTTTCCCCCTTTCTATCTTTCCTACCTGTATCTTTTTTTATTTGGAGAAAACTTTATATATGTTCCACTACTTGGAGTACACAGATGTTAATATTTCATCATATTGGCTTCCAATATTTTTTAATCAAAAACTCCCGTATTACAGATAACATTGTCCCTCTCCTCAGTCCCATTCATCTCCTTCCCTGCCTGAGCACGTCTACTATCACGAATTTGGTGTAGATTCTTCTAGTCCACACTTAAATATTTTTTGCTATGCATATGTTTATCCACAAACAATATAATATATTGTGTTTTTAAGTGGAGTAAGTATGTCATACCATGCATATTGATGGGCAACTTGCTTTGGTTAATGAACATATTTTTTTTGCTCTAACAACATTCAATATATTGATCAAGTTTGCTCCTTCTAACTATTGTGTAGTATCCCATCATGTCGCATACCATTCTCTCTGTAGTCATTCCCTTCATGATATGTTTTCCAACTTTTCACCATTATAGGCAATGCTAATGAACATCTTAATGCCTGTTTATTCTTTAGCAAAAAAACCCAGCAGTTTCTAGAGCAAAAGAAATAATAAACTATAATTCTAATCTTTTTTGTGCATTCTATGATAAAGGATAAGATGCATCCAAAATTACTGTGTGCCCTAAATGTACGCAGGGGTCGCCAGTTGGTTGAGCTCATTGCTTATCTTGTTGGAATGCTCTAGTACACTCGAATGCAGGCTTGAGAACCAAATGCTCAGGTCCACACCTTGACTCAGACTCCAATGAACTGAGGGTCATTGCCTAGTCAGAATTCTTTCCCCTTCTAGTGTCGGCTGAGGAGTGGACTCACATTGGTGTGTGTTGGACAACAGGACCTTTGATGCATTCTCCCAGTGTTTGGGCTGCTTTGTGGAGCTTTCCTTTTACATGAGCTGTTAGGCAATATGGCCTCAAACCAAGGAAGCTGTGAATCTGGATCTCTTTCTTTTCTTTATCCACTACTTCCTCCTCCGTCACCCCCTATAACACCCTTGGGCATCTTGGATGTTAGCTTTTAACTTCAGTCTCCACTCTGATTGGAGACTGGCAGACACGTACATACCTGCCAGCACCTGGCCAGATGACACCAGAGAGAGAGAAATGGCATGAATGTGCTTTCTGCCAGTATGGAGCTGGCCAAGGCCACAGCGGGGGTCTAGTCCTGCCCAACCATGTGACAGGAGGGGATCAACAGACTTCCTCCCATATGGAAACAGACCCTGGCGTAGTGTTCCAGCCCAGAGGAGAGAGGAGTTGAAAGAGCCTTGCCGTTATGGCTTCTAAACCCTGTAACTATACTTACTAGAAAACTTGGTTGAAATAGTACCTGACAACTGATGGAACCAGATCACGATTCATTCTTTCCTGAGTGAAAGAAAAATGAGAGGGAACTAGGAGAAGAGAGGAGCTTTGTGAGCCTCTCCCCGCCCAGGCCGGGTGCACTGAGAGGTGTGATCCATCCCCAGATCCTAGTGGTTCTGGCTCCCAGCTTCTTTTCAAGTCTAGACACCTGTTGCAATCATAGAGTTAAAAAACCTTTCTCTCCAGACCAGCCCAGAAATCCACAGGGCAGAGAAAAATGGAATATGCTTACAGACATGTTGAGGAAAAAGATAAACAATGTCAGGAGTTTGGGTTTTAGTTAAATTCTATTTATTTAAAAAGGTTGAGGACTTCCGCCAAGATGGAGGCATAGGTGGACACACTGTGCCTTCTCGTACAACTAAGTTTAAAAACAATAAAGTTTTAGCAACAAAAACACAGCCAAACCACAGAAAATTGAACTATATGGAAGTCTGACAACAACTAACCCTTCAGTCAAATCAGTAAGAGGGGCAGAGCCAGCAGCAGAGCAGGGTCGGGAAGGAAAGACCCACCGGACCCACCCGGGCATGCCACCCAGTCGTGCCACCAGCCGTGGGCAGATCCCAGGTGTAGAGTAGCAGGGGGCAGACCCACTGAGTGTGCAAGGCAGTGGACCGCGGTGAGGACTGACTGCGGTCACACATTTGCACACAGATAAACTGGTGAAGGAGCGAGCAATGACACGGACTGCACAGGCCTCAGCAGCGTGAAGCAGCAGAGGGGACCGCTATTGTTCCTCTCTGACCCCGCCCCCATATGCAGCATCACAAACCAGCAACCTGGGGGGCCCCACCCTGGTGAACATCAAAGACTCCACTCCTCATATATAACAGGCACAAACAGATCAAAACATTATGGCTCAAGAAGAACTCAGAGCCCTGGAGCTGATAAATATAAGTGATGAAGAAATAGCCAAACTTTCAGATGCACAGTTCAAAACACTAGTGATCAGGATGCTCACAGAACTGGTTGATTTTAGTCACAAATTAGAGGAACATATGAAGGCTAAACTAATTGAAATGAAGGGAAATGCACAGGAAACCAATAGTAATGGAAAGGAAACTGGGACTCAAATCAAAGGAGTGGACCAGAAGGAAGAAAAAAAGGACCAAACAGAAAAGGATAAAGAAACAAGAGTTCAAAAAAATGAGGAGAGACTTAGGAACCTCCAGGACATCTTTAAATGCCCCAACATCCGAATTATAGGGGTACCAGAGGGGAAGAGGAACAGCCACGAGTGGAAAACTTATTTGAACAAATAATAAAGGAGAACTTCTCCAATCCGGCAAAGGAAATAGACTTCCAGGAAATCCAGGAAGCTCAGAGAGTCCCAAAGAAGTTGGGCCCAAGAAGGAACACACCAAGGCACATCATCATGACATTAGCCAAGATTCAAATGAAGGAGAGAATCCTAGAAGCAGCAAGAGATAAGGGGACAGTCACCTACACAGGAGTTCCCATCAGACTGTCAGCTGATTTCTCAAAAGAGACCTTACAGACAAGAAGGGGCTGGAAAGAAGTATTCCAAGTCATGAAATCCAAAGACCTACATCCAACATTGCTCTATCCAGCAAAGCTTTCATTTAGAATGGAAGGGCAGATAAAGTGTTTCTCAGATAAGATCAAATTCAAGGAGTTCATCATCACCAAGCCCTTATTATATGAAATGTTAAAGGGACTTACCTAAGAAAAAGAAGATAAAAAAGATGAACAGTGAAAGGACAGCAAACTCACAGTTATTAAGAACCACACCTAAAACAAAAGCAAACTAAGAGGACAGCTAGATCAGGAGCAGAACCATGGAAATGAAGATCACATTGAGGGTTAGCAACAGGGGAGTGGGAGAAGGAGAAGGGAGGAGAAGGTATAGAAAATAAGTAGCATAGACAGTAGGTAGAAAAGAGGGGGGAGGGCGAGAATAGTATGAGAAATATAGAATCTAAAGAACCTGAGACACATGGTCATAAACTAAAGTGGGGGAATGGTGGGGGAGGGGTGTGCAGCACGGAGGGGAATGAAGGGGGGGAATAGAACAACTGTAATGGCATAATCAATAAAATATTTTTTAAAAAAAGGTTGAGAGTCATTGACCAACTCTTTCATTCTTCTGTCTAAATGTCAGTGAAACAAATTAGCTATAACATGTTAAACATGTTTACATGTATAAATCACTCATCATAAAAGCTCATTAAGATCGGTAAAGTCAGCTTTAAAATATAAAAAGTTATTCCTTCATGTCATTCAGGATCATGTTTTAAAGACTTGGAACTGTTCCAATAGCTAGGTCTCTGAAGTCCTCTTGGATTTAGATTGGCAGATTCAAACTTCTAAGGACCTGGTAATTAACATTCCTGTGGCTAGGATAATTAAGTTATTGTGATGTAGAGCTCTGAAATGAGGTCAGTTCTTGGCAATTTCAGGGATCTTAAAATGATTTAAAAATACTCCATAAAGAGCTTGTGTTCAATGCTCCTTGTTTTTCAGAATGTCAGAATTGTCATTATGTTTGTTTTGTGGGGTTTTTTCCATTTAAATAAATAGACTTTGTAAGAGCAATTTTGGGTTCGCAGCAAAATTGAGTGGCAGGCCCAGGTTTCCCATCTACCCCTTGCCCTTCGTGTGTATAGCCCCGCCCCTCATTACCAACACCCTCCCCCCCCCGGAGTGGCATGTTCGTCCTGTTTTGCTACAGCTTCCCAAGACTCTGAATCAACAAGGTTCAGTCTTTTAAAACCTTTGCCATCTAGTTGAACTATCTTTACCCCATCCTTGTTAGTAATCATTGGCAACCTTTATCTCTCTTTCCTATATTAATGGAATACTTCTTATACTAAATGAACATTTTTTAACTAAGCCAGTTTTCACCTGGTTGACTCTTATGCTGGGGCAGTCCGAGAGAGTCAGAAATCCCAGCTGGGGGTCAGAAACCTCCAGACCAAAAGGTAGGGCAGAGGAAGGCTATGGTAACCATCAGCCAGAGTTTGAGCCACCATGTTTCTCTCCAAAAAAAATTTTTTTAGGGGGAGCACTCTATATGTTATATGATTTTTCAGGAAAAAGTCATAATGTCAACTAAGTTTGTGAAAAACTGCACACCATTTAGCTCTCTTGGAGATTATAATGCACATTAATATATTATAGTCTTTGAGAAATCCTCTAGTAAAAGAACCTTGTTTAATTTGTTTCTTTTTTTTAAGATTTTATTTATTTATCTTTAGAGGGGAAATGGAGGGAGAGAGGGAGAGAAGTATCAATGTGTGGTTGCCTCTTGTGTGTCCCCTGCTGGGAATTGGCCTGCAACCCAGGCATGTGCCCTGACTGGTAATCAAACCGCAATACTCTGGTTCCCAGGCCTGCACTCAATCCGCTGAGCTACACCAGCCAGGGCCTTGTTTAATTTCTTTAACCCAGTATTACCTAAATTTATTTGACCATAGGGCCCACTTCATCTCAAGAAATCCTACTTCATTAACACTTTACGGAATCTGTGCTCCAGCAAAATCCTTTGGGAAAGTGCTGCTCTGCGTTTGGCATGAAGTTGTCCGAGGTGGAGTCACGGACAACTACACAAAGAGCGGCACAAAGCCAGGAAAAGTCAAAGCTCATGGGAGCCTTCATTTTCATTTTTAACTTATTTTATTCTTTAATTTTTAACTTAAAAAATAATAAATGATGGGAGCAGCTTGAGTTTGTTTATGGCCTGGGGAAAGGTGCCTAAAGAAATAATATTAAAGTCACACGAATCTAGTGGTGCCCTTTAATATTTCCAGCAGCCAAATGAGCTATCATTGAAGCTATCATTGCCCAAATTTTTCAATTGAGAAAATGAAGGATCCAACAGGTAACATTGCCCAGGACCACACAGCTGCTCAGAGACAGAGCTGGGCTTCAAGGTCAAGTGTAATTCCACAGGTTGTGCTCCTTCCACTGTGCCCCACTTTCTTCCAAGTCCTGCTGGTTCTGTGTTCTAAATATCATTCCAAAAATTTCTCTTCTTTCTGTCCTCCCGCTGGAGTAGCAGTGAATGATGAGTTAATTTTGGCCGCATTTTGAACTGAGGTTTATAAGAAACAAGATTCATTTCTTCCCTCCATGTCATTGTACATATTTCCCCCCTCTGCCCTGAATATTCTCAGATCTCTTTCCCACCTCCCTGCTCAGCATCCAGTCCTCCCTATGTGGTGAACTTATAATCATCATATACATGCACACATTATATAAAGATAAATATAAGATAATGTAACTACATATATACAATACATGCATATACGAGGTCTGCCCAGTAAAAGTCCAGCCATTGTTAATATTATGAGAACAGTTTGTGCAACAATGATGTAACCTGGCAGCCAGGAGAGGGGACTGGGACACACATGGCGAACAATGATGACTTCACTCTCCTAGTCAATGGGGGTGGTAGACGCCATTGAGTAAGCATGTGTACGGTGTAGCTGTCACATTCAAAATGACTGAGTGAGTAGAGCAATAAATCTGCATCAAATTCTGCATTAAGCTTGAACATTCATTCCTCTGTGGAAACTATTTGGGTGCTTCCGAAGGCCGCAGCTATAGGCAGCTGGTGATTGGCAGATTCACCACGACAACGCACCCACTCATTCATCACGTCTCATGCAGGTTTTTTTTTTTGGCTAAACATTGAATCACCCAGGTGACTCAGCCCCCCTGCAGCCCAGATTTGGTGCCCTGTGACTTCTGGCTTTTCCCGAAACTAAAATCACCTTTGAAAGGGAAGAGCTTTCAGACCATCAACGAGATTCAGGAAAATACAACAGGGCAGCTGACAGTGATTGGGAGAACTGTGTGCAGTCCCAGCGTACCTCCTTCGAAGGGGACTGAGGCATCATTGTCCTACGTACAGTGTTTCTTGTATCTTGTATCTTCTTTGATAAATGTCTCTATGTTTCATATTACATGGCTGGATACCTTCTGGAGAGAGCTTGTACATTTTACTATGTATATACAGTATGTATGTTGCATCTTTTTAACATATATATATATATATACACACACACAAAATACTTCTGTTATTAATAAGTGATGTGACTATTTACAGAGGCCTCCCCAACCACTCCATACCCCATACCTAAAGTCATAATTCTTGTCTTGTGAATTTATGGGCAGCTGCAGGGGAAACAACATAGTGCTTGTGAATTAAAGGTAATGACTTTAGACAGGCTTTCTGAATTCTTAACTGGGAATGTTTGTGTCATCTTGCTACTACTTCAGATTCCATTTCTGACAGTGTTGAAGCTTTAGTAAAATTTCAGTACCTAGGAGGGGTTAATCAGAAATGTAGATGAAGAGGAACTGGTCAATATAATTTATGTATTTAGATCTTACCAAAGGCTTTTGACATGCTTCCAAAGCAAATACTGTATTTAAAAGATAATTATAAATTGATAGAATAAGCTCCAGCAGTGAACAGACTTTTTAAAACTTAGATAACTTATTAAATATTTTCATAACATCTGTTTCCTGAGTGACATACAGGTTTTAAAGTACACTGAGTAATGAAAACAGTGTTATTTCCAAAATATGCCTACAGCTTTAATTGAAAATGATGATACTTCCAATGCCTGATAAATCTGGAGACTGACCTTTGCCCCAGCCTCATTCTGCACGGAGCAAAATGTTTCAGTGTGGTTACAACTGCCAGTAGTGAGCAAACCCACAGGTGACCTTGATCCATTAAGACCAGATCTTAGGATACATCCTGTCTTTGCTTTCTTTACCTTTACTGCTTTCTCTCCCATCAGTCTCCTGTTTATTTATTCCCCCCTACTTATATGTTGAATTTTTTTAAAGTCTTTAAAAATATTTGAAAAAATGTGAAACTAAATCTATATGGTAGATCATAAGATATTTGGGGGTAAACTTACAGATTTCCACTTCTTGTTATTAGCATCAGTTTCTATGGTGTCGTTAGCAAAGCTTTGTAGGCTTTTTTGGTGACATTAAATATTCGTAAAGGGGCGTGAGAGTCTAGTCAGGGGGATATTCAGTCAGCAGAGCAGTCTTCAATAAAGAACAACATCTCTTATATACTAATAAAACTGGTTTAGGTTAACTCAGAAGACCGGAAATATAAAAGGAAAATTTGGTTTTCCTTTAGAGCCCAAAATGGAAATACCTTTCAGGTGCCTATATGAAACAAAGCACAGTCACTAACCACTATGTGGACACCTGTGGCCATGTGAGCTCTCCCAGCTCTGTGAGGGGAGAATGTGTCATCTTTCCCTTCACAAAAGTCCCATCTACCTGGGAGGACAGAACTAGCATGCCAGGCACAGGAGGGAATCATGCAGGGGCACGTGCAATTCGGTGTTAACTCTGTGGACCATAGAGAAGTGTCCAGACACAAAATTTTAACATTTGCTTTTGATTTCTTCCAAGTCCTTATTTCTCTGTTTCTCTTGTCCCCCTGGGTCTTTCTCTCTAATTTCGTAGGAACCCAGGGGCACGTTTTCCTTCCTGCCACATCTGACCTCACATACCTATTTCCTGAATTCAAGATGCCGTCAGTTATAAAATATATCATTATTTTTACCACTATGAAAAATGATACCAATTATATCGCAGTGTTTTATCATTTAAAATTTTCAATCATTTAGACTCAGATTTAGATTTTTTATATGTAATACTCTTTTGTGTACATAAAAAGGAAAGTAAGATTAATTTAATCAGTGAAATCATTAAGATTTTCCCAAACCTTCAATAAAACATTATTAAATTAATTTGCATTGAGTTACAAATGACTAGTCCTTTTAAGTCAATGCACCTACATATTTGTTGATTTCTATGTATCCTGTACTGCAGACATTCAGAGGAGAAGTACAGATAAAGTTGAATCAAGAGCATAAGATCTGAATGGGATCCAGGGGTGAATGAAATTGCATATTTTGGGCATGGGGTACAAGAGGGAGAAGTGGGAGAAAAG